TTGTAGAAAACTCCCAAAATATATCTATAAGTTAGTTGTACATGTCAACCCCTTCAGACATTTATCTGTATAATGAGCCTTAAAAATCTGTAATTTTTGTAAAAAAAATTGTATTAATCACAGGCTGGAGGGGGGCGCGGTGCAGGCGGACTGTCAGCTTCTGTATCAGAAGGAAATGAGGGTTAAAGAACTTATTTCTAACAGAGTGGGTTGGAAGTGGATATTTGATGTTAATAATTGTTTTTAACGTCCTACAGGCTCTGACATGTTGAATAAATTAGAAACTAAGTTTTTGAAAGATTCCATAAAATGTGAAAAAATTCTGAGATTGCTCTATACATCCATATACACAAGAATTTGACTGAAAATGCAAATTATTATTGCATAATGCAGTTTTAGCGTGAGTTTATTACATTTTGAAGCCTGATTTTATTATATTATTACATAATATGTTGTTATTACAAAATGAGGTCTTACATGGCATCATAAACCAGACATTTTTTAAGAACAATGAATAATTGCTTGACGGAAAACAATTTTCTAACTCCATCAGTGAAGAAAAATTCCTTTAATTACCAAAATTGAGCTACTTTAATTCTAAACTAAGATACTGTACCTGTAGTAAGTGTTTTACATGAAGATAAAAAAAAAACTTCATTTATCTCATTTGGATCTTATGTGTGGTCTATGTAGACTTAAAATAATTGAAAACGAATAAAATGATGAAAATTCATTATTTGCAACAATGTTTTACATAGACCAGACAGTAAAAGCCGAAAAAACATGATTGTGTACAGGTTAATGTAATACAAACTCATCAGGGCTTTTTAATCCAATTTATTTTACAAAATTAGTACTTTTCTCAAATCTCATACTCACAGCTGTAAATTACGGTTTCTTTTTATAAGAGAAACAACTTGAACTTCTTTTTTTCAACATGGCATCCATGAAATCATTGTTTTACCTGTTTCATTCATAAGGTATTAGAGACCATTTTAGATCTGGATGAAAGGTAAAYGACTCATCTGTACAAATGGTTTATTTGAACACCATTTAAAGAGTTTTCTTGACCCATCACATCGAAACGAGGATTAAGTCCAAAAGTGTTATAAGGAGAAAAAGGCAAATAGTGTTTTTACTAAATGTTAACAAAAATTGCATTTTGTCAAAATATAATGAATAAAAGCCTTATCAATGTATCATTTGAATGAA